ATCCAGGCCCCTTATATCTCCCTTTTTATAGCATATATAGATAGCATATCAATTCAAAAGAAATCCGGACAAATCAGAAATCACACGAAAATCGGACAACACAACGGCTGTATAAGGAATTTACACAATTTTCCTGAAAAATCACAGAATACCAAATTTGCACAGAATGTAGATAACAACATTACAAGACTTTAATTCTACTGCTCAGCAAATTTTAGACTACACAGAAAAATCCAGTCGACGAAAAACACCGTCGAATCAAAACTACCCGGACAAAAATCTCCAGAAAATAATCAAAATGTCCACACTCAGCACGTCAACAACATACAGAAAGTTATGCGATAAAAACTGAACCAATCGGAAAATACGGACGAAAATGCCTCGCCAAAATCAAATCCGGACAGAAAAATATCGCCAAACACGATGGTTCTGAAAATTGAGAAAGGCGGATTGTGCCTTACCTTGCGTAAAGCAATTTCCTGAACAGTCTCGTCGGACGAAAACAGCTCCGCGTCGCCCGAAAATCAACTTTTCCAAAAGTTTTCTCGACTTTCTCTCTCCTCAGAAAATAGATATTTTATTTTTTTATTTTCTCTCTCTTCAAAACGACTGATTTCAGCTTTATAATACACAGATCGGCCCGGCCGATCGCAATATCGTCCTGGGACGATCTGAACAAAATCAAATCGTCCTGGACGGTTCCCAGGGCGATGCTCAGGACGAAATTCTTGCACTGAACTGATCGTCCCGGGACGATGCCCCTATCGGCCCGGATGATACCTACAGGAATTCATTTCTGGAGCTTCTGTACAGAAATCTGGAACAAACATACCACTGATCGTCCCGGGACGATCCAGATCGGCCCGGACGATCCTGAAGCAGATTTTGATATTACATAACCTAAGAAGATATTTGCATATGTTGATAGTTTTACAGTGAATAGAGCTACACACACATACTATTATATGTCATAACATTCATGATAGTAGAGGCCATAGAATTAACATATTAACACATACAAATAAAAAAGGAGTCCTATAAGACACCAATGTTTTGATATGGAAAGTCTAGAAGGAGAAAGAAATTATAAGGCTTGACTCTATTAAAATGATTCTACTCGTATTTGTCATCGATTAAAAATAACGCATTTTATCATGATTGGCAAATACGTACGTTGATACAATATATTAGTTGTACACTATACATAATATATTACATGGTAGAAGTTGGAAGAGACACATGGCACGAGAACTATCTTTAAGAGATAGTTTGTTATTCGCTTGATCGTTTTTCTTTGACGAGGAGAGATCAAAGATCAAGAAGTCAATCATAAATCGTGGTGCTAATATCGAAAGTTAAGAGTTTTTTTTTTTATAAGATTCGGGAGTTACAGTTGGTGTCAAATGCATGCATCGGTCTTACTAGCAATGTCGTGCATTAATGTTGTTGGCAATGACAAGTGATGAAGTCAACAAGCACAATTTTTGAAAGGCGGCAATGGTTAGATGACCACATGTCAGAGAACTATAGTTGGACGATAGTAAGCAAGGGGTCGTAATCGGGTGATGGTGTTTGAATGATCGTAGTTGAGTAAAGGTGGTTGGAGCAGCATAATCATTGATAAAAAAATATAATAGTTGGTCAACTATTATTAGAGGATTGTAGTTAAGCAATAATGAATGAATGATCATAGTCGGGTGAGGATGTTTAGAAGATCATAATCAGGGGATAATGGTTGAGAAACAGTAGTTTGGCGATGAAGTTTGCATGACCATAATTAGAGGATGATGGTCTGAGTACTATAATTGGGCGACAATTGTCGATGGAACATAATAGGGAGACAAAGGTCAAAGGATTGCAATCAAACAACCTAGGCTAGAGAAGTATAATCGAGTAAGGGTGGTTTAAAAGAAAAAAATCAGGCAATAGAGGTTGGAGGACCGTAGTCAATCAATGATAGTTAGAGGACAGTAGTCAGATGATGGTGGCTAGAGGATCAAATTGAGCGATGATTGTTAGGTGATCTTAGTCGGTGAAATGGTCGGTAGATCTTAGTTGGATATTGTTATATTAGTGGTTTTATGGCGATGGCATAATGATGGCTGGGTGGTGATCCAATGATTTCAGTCTAATGGCAACAATCACGTGGTGATCTCATTGTAGTGATCTGCTCGTTTTATGGTTGTGATGTTTTAGTGGTAGTTTGAAAGCTTCAATCAAGCGAATGTTTGAAAAATTTAGAACACGATATCAGACAACCCATGTTGAATCTCTCCATCATTGACCATTATTTCCATATTTATATGCCTTAATGCTGTTATAATTAAAGAATTTTGGGCATGTTGGGTTCGTCTCTTTGGAATGCTTGATTTGACTTTAAGCACACAAAATTTGAAGATTATTCTGTCATACAATTAATGTTCAGAAGTTTTCAATTATGTTTCAAGTGCTTGATGTATTCTTATTTGGATATAGATTGTTGCATCCTGGAATGTTTGTGGCAGTAGAGGAATATAAAGTTTAACGTCTTCGCTTTATATGAAGATCCAACACATAATCAGATAAAAGAGAGGATGTAGTATTCATAAGAGACATAAATATTTTTACGTGGAAACCCCTAAAAAAGAAAAAACCATGGGGCCTAGTCCAATTTGAAAGAATCCACTATTATTTGCAGTCGATTACAAATGAGGCCCTTCTTTAGAGGAAGGTCTTGACTTAATGTAATAAATATAGATCATATACAAGGCATTACATGGTGGGACTTGAAAGAATAACTATTGTTATGTTTGTTTGGTCGGCAGAATTATAGTAGGCGAGTGACAGAAGTCAGAAAGGTTGTACTATGGTGAGGGTGGTCGGAAGGACAGTAGTCGGCTGGCGACAGAGGTCGGACGTCTAGCGTCACGCAGAAGTTCAATGATGGAAAGAAGTCTAGCGTTAGATAGAAGTTCGATGGCAACCCGACGATAGACATAAGTTTTGCACCGGGTAGAAGTCCAGCGATAGACAAAAGTTTGGCGAAGGGCGGAAGTCCGGTGTCTGATAGAAATTTGCCGAAGAAGGTCGGAAGGACCTTTATCAGGT